GTGCTGCTTCCCCTCTCACAAGAGTCACCTAAGAGGGGAATTTCCCCTATTTTCAAAAATGAAATTCATGCCCTGAATAAATGTCTAAAAATCCTGATTGAAGTATCACTATAAATAGTTATAAATTATAAAAAGAAGGCTTTAAAAAGATTGGTATCGGTGATCGGTATCGGCAAATACTGCTTTCTGTGATCGGCCTCAAAAATCCTGATCGGAGCACCCCTACTTATTAATATAACATAAACACAGTTGTGTTTTTTCTGCACTGTCTTATTTTTTTTTTAAGAATGTGCTGATTTTAGCAAATGTATGAATTAAAAAATGAGAAAAAATTCTCAGAAATCAGTCTCCTGACACTGTTTTTACACTTGTAGGTCAGTTCTTTGGTCTGGACCGAAAAAGAAAAAGATGCAGTTAGTCCTGGTTCACTTCACACTGTCATTTTTAACTATACAAAACAAAAGGCGTAAGGATACAATCACAACCTGATCGGACAGCTTTTATGACATATTTTGCAAACGTACCCAACAACCAAAACAATGCTGTGTGTTAGGCTAAATGTGCTTGTGTGTAGACATGGTGGTATTTTACCAGTTCACAAAACTCTTATAAAAAAATCTTATATAATGTGTAAAGGAGTCAAAACAGTGGCATGAATTCCATACGGAGATCTGCTATAAGGACACAACAGTTATGGCACCTGTACCAAACTGTAATAGGCAACATAGTTCTTATGAAAAGAGAATCAGGTCTGCTTGAGAATCCTGTCCTTTTAGGGTCAAGTGTTGTGACATCACGTACTGTTTTAGTTTCATTTAGATGTCTTCAGTCCGTGTTGCATTCATACAAATAGGTGGATCTCTGTCCGCTTGTTGGGTGCACACCAAGGGTTAGATGGCAGTTAGATGGCAGTTCACTTACTCAAATGAACTGCACTGACAGAGCAATTAAACCAGAGTTTGTTTAATCAAACCAAACTTGCCAAGTGTGAACACGCCTTAAAAATCAGGTTGCATTTGGAATTGTTGTCTGACACATTTCGAAACACAACACAAAATCATGCTTGTGTTGCTATTGGACTATGCAATCCTGTATTTTGTTTCAGGTCACACACACAGAGTGTGTAATGATTCCTCCACTTCATTACATCCTTTTCATGCGAGTTCTCTCTCTCGACTCCTCCTCCGTCCTCTCACAACAGAATGACTGAAACCTAAAGCCATGTGGCATTACACTCCCTGCCAACTGAGGCAGCAACCTGCATTTCCCACAATCCACTAAATGCCTGCCAATTTTACATGGTGAAAGCGAAGCAAAGCATCTCTTTGATTCTATGAGGAGAGAGAGAGATCCGTCACATACCCCTTTGAACTTTTTCATTTTCCAGACACGCCCCTTTAAAAAAAAAAGAGGGGAAAAAAAGACAAACACCAGATCTAACCTGGTACAGCTAGTTATGCGACCTACACTTATCTACACTAAAAAAATTACAATGGACCACAGCCAGAAACCGTTTGATTTCCACCAGCACAGCTCATATTCTCAAATTCAGCACGTTTTCATTGATACGCGAGTCACTGATTGTAAGTAACCTAGTTAGTGCCCTGTTATGATTTCATTTTAAAACAATGACTGCTATTTTTACTCATTGTTAACTGGAGTAATAATAGGGCATTAATTAGCAGGTGATCTGATGAAAATGAATGACTCACACATGATTAAAACACAAAACGTGCATAACTCATAAATATGATCTCAGTATGATCAGGTGAGAGGATTAAATGGCTAAAAAGAAATCAAAAAGCAGTGCGGCGTTGTCTTACTTTGAGGCGGTGTGTATCTTTTGGGTGTGTTTCGCTGCAGCTGCACTGTTGTCATCGGTTTTAGGCCCTGACATGAATTTGCGCGACGCCGATACTGAACGCGCGGTGAAGGCGGTGGCGTCGCGCGAAGCATAACGGGGCCTCGATCGATTACCTCAGTGAAACTGCAACAAAAAACGGTATTTAATCCGCATATTTC